TGATCAATGCGATTGGTCAATTCTTTCTTCATCCGAGATCTCGGACGGATTTCTAGCATCGTAGACACTGGGCTTAATACGGGCGGCTTTAGGATCCCCTTAAAACCCAGTATCCACGATGCTAGAAATCCTTCCGAGATCTCGGATGAAGAAAGAATTGACCAATCGCATTGATCATGTGACTAAATTGTTTAAATGTGATTGGTTAATTCTTTCTCTCTCCGAAATCTCGGACCAATTTCTAGCATCGTGGACATAAGGCTTAAGGCCGGAATCAGACTACTCATTGAAGATTAGGTCTGTTCGCGTTGCTTGCACTTTTGGCACTCGGCATCTTCGCTTTCTCTCTTTTCAAGGCCAAATATATATCTATCTAAATATATATATATATCTATATATCTCATTTTAAGTGCCTTTACCCCGGATCTACAATAGAGTTTTGGGCCTTAAGACATAAGAAATGGATGAATCATAGGCTGCGTTCAGCAGACTCAACAGTTTTGCAACCGTTTTATGATTGTCTGCTGAGATAGGACCATTCTTCTAGATCTAAAAGTATGATCCAATTAGCGCGAAGGAAACTTCCAACAGTTGCAAAACAAACGTTCTGCTGAACGCAGCCATAGTCGATTATTCTCCTCGAATTCGACTGTAATTGGTCAATTTCTTACGGCTTAAGGCTTAACCCCGGGATTAACCCCGGATCTACAATAGGGTTTTAAGCTTTAAGCCATAAGAAATGGGCGAATCACAGTCGATTATTCCCCTCGGATTCGACTGTAATTGGTCAATTTCTTTCGGCTTAAGTCTTAAAATACTTATTGTAGATCCGGACTTATGATTCGTTGATTTCTTACGGCTTATGATTTCTGCACACTGGATGCGGAAAAGCTTATCGCGCGGCAAAATGCGACGCGGTAATCGATGGCTGCGTTCAGCAGAACGTTTGTTTTGCAACTGTTGGAAGTTTCCTTCGCGCTAATTGGATCATACTTTTAGATCTAGAAGAATGGTCCTATCTCAGCAGACAATCATAAAACGGTTGCAAAACTGTTGAGTCTGCTGAACGCAACCAATGAACATGTAGGAGCTGTAAGCTTATTGGTTGCCGCGTCACATTTTGCCGCGCCGCAAGCGTTTCCGCGTCCAGTGTGCAGGAACCGTTATTTCTATTTAAACCAAGCTTACTACGTATATTGTAGACGGGTCTTTAGTGCAAAAGCCGCCAAAATCTGGCAACCCTGGTCCAATACATGTATATTTTGCCGCGCAAATGTATATATGAGTGTGTACTATATATACACATATCACACATACATGAATCGTTGAATTTTATAATTATGATTAGTGAATTTTGTGCGATGGTATGTAACTGAAGTTACACAGCACAATACATAGAATTTAAAATTATCGATATTTTGCCACAACGAAGTGTCATGTGTGATTTGTAGAATAGGAATACCGATAATTAGGTCATTCATTCAATTGCGACTTTAAATTCTCTTTCCACACCATTAATTGTAAACAAGAAATAACTTTTCTAGTCAACTCAGAATGTCATTCGATATGTACAATTGGGAAGATCAGTCCATCGTACATTGAAACAGCATATCCTTGATACATTTCGTCGTTGAAAAATAAGTGCTCAGTATGGAATAAAGTTTCTTCTTATCAAATTAAAATGTAGAAGTTTATTATTTATGTTTTGCTTGATAATTTTCTATATATAGATTTATACATACATTTTCCTAAATATGTAGTCACACATACTGACAATTTGTCATTTGCTTTCTACATCAATCATTTATAATATTACACTTGGCTATAAAATATTCAATTATTTCAGATTATTGTTATAAAATGATAGAATCTGATCACAATGAAATTGAGGAAGGAGAAATGGATACACTAAGACTATCATCTGATTCTGCAGATAACATATCAAAAAAAAGGCCAAGAGATTCTGAAGATTCTGAAGATGAAATAGATTTATCTAAAAAACGGCGATGCTCATTTAGTGAACGGTCAAAAATATTAGAGAACGATAATCCTGAAACTATTTCAGAGAAAAATAATACAGAGAGATATTATGAGAAAGTGGAAAAATATAAATTGTATCGAGAAAATCAGCAAAGTGTACAAGAGGTATCTGATTCGGACATGAATGGGAAGAATAAGGAGAAACAAGGAGATGATGTAAAGCGAGGAAACGAAAAAAAAACTGAGAATAACATTACTTTAAATAAAAATTCTGGAAAAATAAATATTAAAGAGGAAATTGTGGAAAGCATGGTAAGAATACAATATGAACTTACGTTACTAACAAAATCTGAGAAAATTGATTCTTTTTTTATATCGTGTTTTTTATCATTCTTACCATTACATTTGTATCTTATCTATAATGTCCCTTTTTTCTGTCATACATAGCAAATTTTTTTACTTTTAGCTATATTTTCTGTCTAATATTTTGTAACATATTTAAACTCACTGTTTTGTAATATTAGAATCAGTTTGAACATGAGACATTCTGTTTATTAGGTGACTTTAATAGCCATATAATAAACAGGTTATTCTATGATTTTAATTATTTTTCTTAATACTAAAAATAGGATAATTCAGTCCAAAAGTCTATTATAAGTGCAAGTATGATGTCTATTCCTAAAAACGAGAAAGAAACAACAGGAGGCAATGAGGTTAAAGAAGAAAATGACAAAACGATAGCTAGAGAAGAAAATAAAGAGGAGGATGAAACGAAAAAACAACATACTGCTAAGAAACATATTGTCGACACAGAAGTGGTAGATGGACTGGAACTTTCCGTGGAATGTGCGAGTGATAAGGAAGAATCTAGTTCTGAAAGCGAAAATGAAAAAGATGTGAAACCACGACCGAAAACAATAATCGTGAAGGCAGAGCCAAATGAATCGGAATTAGACTGTTCGTCAGAAGCAGAAGAAAAGCCTGATTTGCAACAAATCACTGATACATTGAAGATCAAATCAGAAAAAAACAGGGAAAAAGCAGCAAAGAGAAAAGGTTCGCGATCAAGTTTTAGTAAATTAAAGACTTCTGGATCAGAGGACAGTCAGAATAGCAATTCAGATGAGGATTATAGTCCACGGACGAAAAAGAAAATGACAAAATCTCCAGCTACGAAAAAATCAACCGACAAACATCGCTCCGTCGAATCAAAAAGAGGACGAGGTAAAGATATAAGAAATTCTCACCCAAAAAATACCGAATGTCTATCTGATGATGAGGATATGACTACAGCAGAGAAAGCTAATAAAACAACTCAAATTAAAAATGGACTACAGGAAGAATTATCAGACAGGGAATCATTCGATAAAAATGAAAGTGATAATTCTGAAAAGGAAGAGAAATCTATGAAAAGAAGGGGAAGACGTAGTAATGCTGTAAGTTTCTTACTAACAAATAGATCTTACAATAATATAAACTTGGATGTATTTTTTTACTGTTGTATGCATTAAATTTTCAGGATGGAAATGAACAGATACAGAAGTTGAAGAGGTATTTAAATGTTGCTGGAGTGAAAATTCAATCGTACAATCGCATTTTTGCGGATTGTAAGAATAACGCTGCAAAAATTAATCGTCTAAAAGAACTATTAAAGGAAAACGGCATTAGTGGTCATCTATCGTTGAAAAAATGTAAACGAGCGAGAGAAGAGAATGAAAAGATGAGGGAGGTATCTGAATTGGATATGTCAAACATTATATCTGAAGGTTAATATTATGGTTTTGCTGTCTATGTTATATTTATTATATAATGGACATTGCGCACAACGTTGAATTTGTTTTTATTTCAGGACGAGTTACGCGCGCACGAAGAAATATGGATAACGTTAAAAAGACACTTCCAGACGTACCATTGCGATATCGAGAACGTAATACATTTAGGCTTATTCAAACTGTTGTTGATAGTGATTCAGAATAGACAGGGTTGGGTAGTGCTAAATTAAAAAGATAAAAGTTAAATTAAAAAGTTAAAAAGTTAATTAATTTTGACTTAATTTAGTTACATTTTATTGATAACTATTAATTTTTAATTTGATTTTTTTTTTTATGTTAATCCTCAGACACAATGCGAGAGGATAATGAGTATATAATTTAGTAATTTTATATTGTATAATAGTTACTTTTGAACAAAAATAACCAGATTCTTTAATAAATATGCTGTGAGAAAGAAAAAATACGAAAAATTATGTAAAATGGTAAAACTTTTTCTTTTTCTTTCTTTTTTTTTGTTGGTTGTTAGGACCAAATTTAACTTTTAACTTTTCAATTACTTTTTTCATTAACTTAATTTTTAATTCAATTAATTTCATTATGGATTAATTTGTATTTTAATTAAGTTAAATTTTCAAGGCTGTTAACTTTAACTTAACTTAGTTAAAAAAAAAAGTTAACTTACCCAACCCTGAGAATAGAGGACATAGAATGTTCTCATAATCCATAAATGTTGGATAATATAAATATATAAGTATTTAAACATCAAAGAACAGGTGCCAACAATTGTGCATTTATGCACGCTGGCCTGTCCACGTCTATGTAGAATATTTTGTATTTTTAATTTTTCATATATCGATAGTTATTGTTTTTTTATATTATAGTGTGCAATTATCAATTAATAGTAATTTTCATGTGCCGCGTATTACATTGACAATGTTGGTCAATAATGTCAATATATTGAGCTACCTTCTCTAGCAGCCATTACATTTAACAGTATGTTGGGCTTTCTTTTCCAACAGGCATTACATTTATAAAATGTGATCGATCAACCCCCACGCGCACCTGCTAGAGAAGGTAACCTGACATGATTGATTAATATGATCAGTAATACGCGGTATATTGATATGTGAAAATACGGAGACAAATTTTTATTTTCATTGTATTAACTTATTATTCCCCTAGTTAAGATAAGTTGCTGATAACTTGTATACGAAGAAGGTGATTTTGGAATTTGTGTAACACCTATTTGGTACGAATAATGATAAATGTCATTATGTACATAAATAAGAAAAAAAACTAGATAAAAAACAAGAAATTCTGTCAGATTTATACTACCGAATGATTAAAATTAGTGATGCGTTTTGCTTAAATGGAAAAAATAACATTATATTTTTAAGTACATATTAGAAATTGATTTGTAGCGTATAATATATAGATAAAAAAAAACAATTTATTTTTCATCAAATCTACATACAGCTTCAGCTAATGTTAAAGACAGTTGGAAAAAGCATCGATCACAAATCTTTCATATCTTTAAATATAATTATAAAAAGCAACGAAAAGCCATACTATATCTTTCCCTTTGGTCTATAATATAAAAATGTATCCAACTAAATTTTTAGGTAGAAGGGAAA